GTGGGATATACTCAAGTCAGTACTTTGGCTCTCATGGACTTGTTCTAATTTTCTTCAGATTTAACTTGAATTTGCATATGAACAATTGATGGTCTGTTCCAAAGTTATCCCCTGGCCTTGTTCTGACTGATATTGAGCTTTTCCATCGTCTCTTTCCACCGATGTAGTCAATTTGATTCCTGTGTATTCCATCTGGCGAGGTCCATGTGTATAGCTGCCATTTATGTTGCTGAGCAAAGGTATTTGCAAAGAAGAAGTTGTTGGTCTTACAAAATTCTATGATGCGATCTCCGGCATCCTTTCTATCACCAAAGCCGTATTTTTAACTACTGATCCTTCTTCATTTCCCACTTTTGCATCCTAATCACCAGTAATTATCAATGCATCCTGATTGCAAGTTTGATCAATTTCAGACTGCAGAAGTTGGTAACAATCTTCAATTTCTTCTTTTTTGGCCTTAGTGGTTGGTGCATAAATTTGAATAATAGTCGTTTATTAACTGGTCTTCCTTGTAGGCATATGGATATTATCCAATCACTGACAGTGTTGTACTTCAGGATAGATCTTGAAATGTTCTTTTTGACGATGAATGCAACGCCACTCCTCTTCAAGCTGTTATTCCCAGCATAGTAGGCCATATGACTGTCGGATTCAAAGTGGCCAATACCATCCATTTCAGCTTACTAATGCCTAGGATATCAATGTCTATGAGTTCCATTTAATTTTTGATGATTTCCAATTTTCTTAGATTTCATATTTCGTGCATTCCACGTTCTGATTATTAATGGATGTTTGCAGCTGTGTCTTCTCATTTTGAGTCATGCTACATCAGCAAATGAAGGTCCTGAAAGCTTAACTCCATTCACGTCATTAAGGTTGACTCTATTTTGAGCAGGCAACTCTTCCGCAGTGGTCTCAAGAGTGCCTTCCAAACTGGGGGCTCATTTTCTGGCACTACATCAGACAGTGTTCCACTGCTATCCATAAGGTTTTCAGTGGCTAATTCTTTTCAGAAGTAGACCACCGAGTCCTTCTTCCTAGTCTGTCTTAGTCTGGAAGCTCAGCTGAAACCTGTCCACCATGGGTGACCCTGCCAGCATTTGAATACTGGTGGCATAGCTTCCAGCATCACAGCAACACACAAGCCCCCACAGTATGACAAAATAGTAGATGCCTTCAGTTTCATGTACTAGAAGACTTAATATAGTTAAGATGAAAATACTCCCCAAGTTGATCTACAGATTCAGTGCAACCCCTATCAAAACCGTAGCTTCCTCTTTTGGAGAAACTGACAAGCTGAGCCTAAAATCCATAATAGATATGTAGGGACCTAGAATAGCCAAAACAATCTTGAAAAAGAACAAACAAGTTGGAGGACTCACACTTTGCAATTTCAAAACTTACTGCAGAGCTACAGTAACCTGGACGGTGTCGCACTGGCCTAAGGACAGACATACTGATCAGTGCAATAGAATAATAGGTTAATAGATTTTCAACAAGGGAACCAAGACAACTGAATGGAGACAGAACAGTCTTTTCAACAAATTGTGCCGGGAAAATGGGATACCCAAATGCAAAAGGATGAAGTTGGAATTCTAACTCACACCATATACAAAAGTCAATTCAAAATGGACCACAGACCTAAAAGGAAGCTAAAACTATAAAACTCTTCAAAGAAAATATGAGCATACATCTTTGTTACCTTGGATTAGGCTTCGTATCTTAGATGTAACTGTGGTTTTTCACATGTGACACCAAAATCATAAGCCACAAGAGAAAAAATAAATTGTACTTCATTAAAATTTAAAAGCTTTATGCTTCAAAAGACACCATCAAGTAAGTAAAAAGATAACCCACAGACTGGGAGAAAATGCTTACAAATCATACATCTGAAAGGGTGTAGTATCCAGAATATATAACGAGCTATAACTCAACAACAAAAAGACAACTCAATATAAAAATAGGCAAAGGATTTGAACAGACGTATCTCCAAAGAAGACATACAAATGGCCAAGAAGCACGTGAAAAAAATGCTCAACATCGTTAGTCGCTAGAGAAATGAAATTAAAACCACAATGAGTTACCACTTCACATACACTAGGTTAGCTATTTTAAAAAAAAGAAAAAGAAATGTTGTCAGGGATGTAGAGATATTGAAACCCTCCTACACTGCTGTATGAGGATTTTTTTTTTAACTCAAGATTTTCCAAACGTCTTTGATCCTGGAATTCTCTTCCAGGATGTACTAAGGTCCCACGCACCACGTTTCGGGAGCTGACGCTATGGCATGGGCATAAAATGCACCGAGTACGTTAAGACACAAAAATATGGCGGAGAAGACAAGTCCACAGTAATCTGTTTCTGCTAAATATTGGGAACTTTTCACATCTTTTAGAAGACTTTTTATTTGCATTTAATATATTTCAGAAACTATATCCTATTTTTAATCTACCAGTAAGGAATCAGATACAGTTAGAGGGTGGGCATGTCTAAGTAATTGTAGTCCACTTTCTATTTTCCATTTCTTCTCCAGGGCATGTAACTGGTTAAAATGTGCAATTCAAAAAATAGAAAAGCTGCTCATTGGGAAGCCTTTTTAAAAATGCCTGAACCCTTTCCCCAAAAAGAAACACTGAGAATACGTAACTGTAGCAAAACATTCTGAGATAAACTGAGGAAGCTGATATAGTTATTATAACTTCTGGTTCATTTAAACTGTTAAACTGTCAGAAGAACTGACAGCTGACGTCAAAGATGGGAGCCTGGTGGGGTTACACGTCAGAGAATCAAGGCGATCGGTCCAAGACAGAGGCTTGGTCAAGGCAGGTGTTCAATTAATGAAATAAACATCGTTAAGGTGAAAATAAAATGTTCAGATCCCTCAATGCATATCAAAAATATTTATAGAATGTCTTTTCTTTGTCAGACTCTGTGTTAGGCATTGATGGTATAAAAATGAATAAATAATGCTACATACTGTTATGAAAATCATATTCCAGGGGGTATTTTTTGGTCAAACTAGTGACTACTCCCCTACTGCACTGCCCACTACAATCAACTGTCTATAGTAAGAATCGCACTCGTTGATACAGGGAATAAAAGAAAATGGCGATCAAAGGGAATTCAAGAAAATTTGATATACACAGTTAATTACTTTTGTCTTCTAAAATAGTTTTGTACTTAAGTTATCTCACGGATTTCTTAGACAATGCATACAGCTACTGTTCAAGACTTTGAAGCAAATAAGGATGCGATGTTCTATCTGAAAGCCAGGAAACTCATGTGTAATAAGATGTTCAAAAAGAAAATTGAATTTGATGGATAGATTTGACCTGGTATACAGAGTTTTGGGTGAATGGCTGGATATAGAGAAACAAGTTTGAGAGAAAACCAAACATTCCATTATTTTGATGTTGGTGGGGGTGCTGGTGGGGTTTTTGTTCAAAAAAAAAAAAAAGTCACTTACTTATAACACATACCCAAAATGGTGGCAAATACCTCATACTGTCAAATAAATGCTACTCAGTTTAATCTTTTAAGTTATTTTATTAAATTTGCAAATTACTTATTAGCTGCATGGTAGTTGTTTTAGAATACATTGTTTTCTTTGGAAAAACCCAAAGTGTCCATTTCCATCCATGTTTCACATGATCAGACTACCTCATTCAGAGATGAACTCAAAGTATCCATCAGAGCAAATGACAAAGATTTCCACAGAGCATGTTCAGGTAATTATGAACTAGTATCATTTGACAATAACTTTTCCTATTTAAAAGTTTCACTAAGTTTTAATAAAATAGGTCTCAATACTCTTTCAATTCCATTCTCACAGGTTAAAATGAGTAAGAAAAATATTTAGAAAATAAATCTCCAACCCTCATTTAAATTGTAATGTGATTTTCCCACATAAACTTTAGGATTTTCTTGAGTCTTTGGAAATTTCATTATGTCTTTCTGATTTAGATAACCCTTGTAGGCCTTTAGTGAGTTAGACTGTGTCTCCCAAAGAGACATGTCCAAGTCCTAACCCCTTGTACCAGGGAATGTGATCTTATATGGAAACAGGACCTTTGTGGATGTAATTAAGTGTTTTAAGATGACTGGTGTCCTTATCAGAGAAAGGAGGGGGAGGCTGGAGACACAAGACACACAGAGACGCAGGCCGAGATGGGAGTGCTGAGTTGACAAGCCAAAGATGGCCAAGAGCTGCTGGCAGCCACCAGCCGCTGGGAGAGAGGCATGGCACAGATTCCCCTCAGAGCCTCCAGAGAGAACCAGCCCTGCCAACATCTTGATTTTGGACCTGTGGCCTCCAGAATTGTGAGAGAATAAATTCCGGTTATTTTAAGCCGCCAAGTTTCTGGTAATTTGTTACAGCATCCCAAAGAAACGAATACTTTTTCAAATATGTTAACAGGAAACAGATTTGTGTTAGTATCTATTCCAAATCCATCATAAGATGTAAATACATGTGCCTGTAATGTGCCATATGTACACATACGTGTGTGTGCACATGAGTGTGTGCGTGTGTGTGTGTTTATAACACTGTGAGGAGACCATTTCATTAGAATAAGCACTTTTCCCCTACAGGATCTAACTTGGAAAAGGAGCACCCTTAGTCACACAGACATGATCTGGTATTTTATTTATTAATGTTATTATCCTGTAATTCAGAGAAACTGCAGCACCTAAAAATATCTTTTCCATAGTAGGCATTCAAAAAATATTTGCATTTTGATTAATAAATGAATAAACAACTGAACGACTGATGTTTAAAGTATCATGCTTCACCAAAAAAAAAAAAAAAAATGAGTCATTCCTCACTCACTGTTATTATTAAATACTATTACTGTGTCAGAATCCCAAAATATTGACCCATCATCTAGCTTCAAATGGGTTCTTGTCCTACTATGCAACAGTATTAAGCAGCACACACAGCATTGGAGCCCAGATCTGTGTTTGAAGACTCCAAATGGCACATGTGCCACTAAAGGACCTACGTGTCTGTCCTCCGCACCACAGGCCACACGCCGTCCACACGCACTCAGAGCAACCCCACACAGGTGGCAGCGGTTTGCGTGTCCCTCAAAGCAGCGCTCACACCTGCAGAGGAAAAGGAAACATCAGGAGAAAAATATTTTGTTTAGTTTTTAACACAAATTGGGAGAAAAAACCAACTAGTTTCTTTTTATCACAAAAAAGGGACAAGCTGGCAGTGAAGGAATGCTTATATATATATGAAGATTATTAAATCGTAAACAGGCTAATCTTCAGATCTTTAAAAATAATATTTTAAAAAACCTTTTAAAATTACAAATTATTTAGATCAATGATTCAAAGACTTCTGAGAGGTGCAAAATTTTACTGAGGCTGGTTAAAGTTCACAACTATTTATAAAGGCCTACATAAAATTTTTGTATTCTAAAAAAAAAACATAGTATTGATGCCAGTTTTGTCAAAAGAACCTCCTACACTTATTGGGAAAGCCATAGATTCCTAAGAAAGCTTTCAACAAGCATTTACCTGCACTGAGCTAGGTGCCATGAGAGCACGCAAGGATGGCCAAACATGTAGCCTCTCAAGACACCCTGACCAGGGCAGCATCTTGTCCACACAGGTGAGCCAGGGGCTTTCTTGCCCATTCTAGTGATTGGAAAAGGAGCAAAACACTCTACTCATGTTACCCTTGTAAATTAGATGGGTTGGTGGATGGATGGATGGATGGATGGATGGATGGATGGATGGATGGATGGATGATAGATAGCAGACAAACAGATACAGAGAGAGATAGATGGGTGATAGTGGATGGATGATGGATGGATGGATGATAGAGAGAGAGATGATAGAAAAGTAAGTAGGTAGGTAGATAGGTAGGTAGATTAGATAGATATAGATAGGTAGATTAGATAGCTATAGATAGATAGGTAGACAGATAGATAGATATGATAGTGTCTTAGTCATCTAGTGCTGCTATAACAGAAATACAAGTGGATGGCTTTAACAAAGAGAAATTTATTCTCTCACAGTCTAGTAGGCTACAAGTCCAAATTCAGGGCGTCAGCTTCAGAGGAAGGCTTTTTCTCTCTGTCAGCTCTGGAGAAAGGTCCTTGTCATCACTCTTCCCCTGGATTAGAAGCTTCTCTGTGCAGGAACCCTGGGTCCAAAGGATACGCTCTGCTCCCAGCACTGCTTTCTTGGTGATATGAGGTTCTCAACTCTCTGCTTGCTTCCCTTTACTTTTATCTCTTATAAGACAAAAGGTGGTGCAGGCTACACCCCAGGGAAGCTCCCTTTACACTGGATCAGGGATGTGACCTGAGCAAGGGTGTTACATCCCACCCTAATCCTCTTTAACCACAGGCAGAGATTATGACTTATAACACACAGGAAAATCACAAAATGGAGGACAACCACGTGATACTGGGAATCATGGCCTAACCAAGTTGACACATATTTTTGGGGGGACACAATTCAACCCATGACAGATAGAAAGACAGACAGACAGATATGGATGATGGATGTTCGGACAAAAAGACAGACAGACGGATGACAGATTTTAGACAAATAGATGATAGTTGATAGAGATGACAGATAGATAGACACATGGATGATGGATGGTGAATGGGTGGATGGATGGATGGACAGACAGACGGATGATAGTTGATAGATGATAGTTGACAGAGATGATAGGTAGACAGACAGACAAATTTGGAAATGGATAGTGGTGATGGCTGCACAACATTGTGAATGTAATTACTGTCACTAAATTGCAGTTAAAATGGTTAAAATGGCAAAAGTTCTGTTGCATATTTTACCACAATAAAAAAATAAATAAATAAACACACATTTCTCCCCTAGTTATCTTTCTGTTGACAAGGTTAAAACCAGGTGGGTTACCACAAGTCGGCTGGAAGCAACTCAACAGCAACTAACAACAAAACAAAGGCCAAATCAAGCACAGTAGTTACACTTATTTCAACGACAACCACAGGAAGTATTTTGTTGTATATCCCGTGTTTTTTTCTGCACAAGCAAGAGCTGGCATTAAACGAGAAGATGAGATCCCGGGAGGAAGGCGTGTCTAGTATAGACCTGTGTCTGGCATGGACAGGAACACCCCGGAGAGGGGCTCAGTCATGTGTGGGCGTCTGGGGCATCTGCAGGTACCAGCCTCCCTTCATCTCCCATGACCCGTCCAGCACACCTAGGATCCCTCTCCTGTGTCACACACGCAGCAGGGACAGCAGTGCTGGATACCCTACCCTTGCACAAACGGGCTTGTTCTTGCCATCCATCTCTGTCTTTGTTAGACTGGCTGTGTAGGTAGATCCACCATACCTTACCATGTTTGGGAAAAGGGATCCAACGGGTCAAATATTTAAAGCTGGGCACTTGGCAGGGTTTGAAAGGAACAGCTCCCAGAGGCTCCCTCTGGCCTCACGTTCTCAATGGCCATGAGGGGACGGGTAGGGACTCACCTCAGAGTCCTCAGGTCCCACAGCTTTATCCCGTCCCCCACAGCCGTGGTGAGGAAAAGGTTATAAGCCTCGGGTTGTTGGGCTGCAAAGGATGATCCCTGTAGGGAAAAAGTCAGGATGGTCAAAGGTGGAATGGATAAGCATTATACAACTAATATCTGAATCCAAAGTAAAAAATTAAAACAAACTTTTTTTTTTAATTTAAAAAAGTTTCAGAATTGGACTCTAAAAGCTTCCATAGAAGTAATTAATAGGGGAGCATTTCAACTTTAAAAATGATTGATAAATCCAAGGAGAAGCACTGAGGTTTGAAGTTAAATAGCCACAAAGTGGTAAAAGATCAAGAGGCCAAGACGCATATGAAAAGTATAGACAATGAGCCACAGCCAACCAATGACCTCAAGATGCCCTCGATAAGGAAAGTAGAGTTTAAAGGTCAGTTATTAATCAGCCGATTATCCAAGTGTAAGGCACACAGAGCAGGCCTACTGACGACCGTCAGAAGGCCAGCATGGACGCGGGGCTGTCTGTGTCACACAACACGCTGACCACTTTAAGATTCAGTTCTGATTTCATAACCAGGGGCCTGTCCCATCCGCCTGTCCCACGCTGCTGTCAACACGCTGTGGTGAGTGAGAAGGTCTCAACGAGTGGAACTGAATTCATCCACAGAACCATTCGGCCAAAAACATTTACATGCACTGTGGTTCCTAACAATTTCCCTCTTCTTTCTATTTCAGCAGTATCCAAATTAAAGATGAGTTTAATGAAGTTTATTCATAAGCATTTATGCTTAAAATACACACACCTCTAGAAGCGATTCTTCATTTACAAACAGGAAATAAATGCCTATGCAGGTTCAATAATGTGATGGTTAAGACTGTGTGTCAACTTGGCTGGGCCATGATTCTCCGTGTTTTAATGTAATCACTGCCATGATTGAATATACTGTGAGTAGCCAATCAGATGAAAGGGCGTCTCCTTGGGGGTGTGGCCCGAATCTGTATATAAGCAGATGTTCTGGCTTTTTGCTCTCTCTGGATCCTGTGGCTGCTTCCTGTCGTCTCATCTCCCGTTCTTGGGACTTGAGCTGTCAGCTTATCTGCCGAACCTGGGATTCGTCGATCTGCGCAGCCCGTGAGTGGGAACCCTGCTCTCCGACCTTCTGATCTTGGGCTTGCCAGCTTCTGCAGCTGTGTGACTTGGGAGAGGCTTCTACCCTGATCCACGGACTTGGGACGTTCTAGCCTCTACAATCGCGTGAGCTGTTTCCTTGATATAATCTCTCCATATATACATATTTATACACTTTACTGGTTTTGCTTCTCTAGAGAACCCAGCCTAAGACAAATAATAACAATAAGCTAACATGTACTGGGCTCAAACATAACAACGATTGTGAGCATGGTGCAGGACCAGGCAGTGTTTTGTTCTGTTGTAGATGAGGTCACTATGAGTTGGAACTGACTCGAAGGCACCTAACAACAACAACGCACTGAGTCTTATCTCTGTACCAACAAGCATCCTAAACACTGCATTTAATCCCCCTAATAGTGAAGAATATTGAATATACCATGGATTGCCAAAAGAACAAATCTGTCTTAGAAGAAGTACAACCAGAATGCTCCTTAGAAGTAAGGATGGCGAGACTACATCTCACATACTTTGGACATGTTATCAGGAGGGACTAGTCCCTGGAGAAGGACATCGTGCTTGGTAAAGTAGAGGGTCAGCAAAAAAGACAACCCTCAACGAGACAGACTGACACAGTGGCTACAACAATGGGCTCAAGCATAACAATGACTGTGAGGCTGGTGCAGGACTGGGTAGCGTTTTGTTCTGTTGTACATACGGTCGCTATGAGTCGGAACTGACTCGAAGGCACCTAACAACAACAAGGCTATTGTTGCTGTTGTTAGGTGCCGTTGAGACGGTTCCGATTCATAGTGACCCTATAGGACAGAGCAGAACTGCCTCATAGGGTTTCCAAGGAGCGGCTGGTGGATTTGAACTGCTGAGCTCGTAACCACTGCGCCACCAGGGCATCATCCTAAAAGCCTTACTGAGTATGAACTGTTTTATACCATTTACAGGCGAGAGGAGCAGCTCACAGAGGGATTGTGCGTTGTGGCACAGCTACTATGCCCCACACAGCTGTGTGACAAACTGGTCCCCAGTGAGGGTAGCTAGATAACTCATGATACACTATAAAAATAACGTAACACACTTTCGACCAACAGAGATTATCCACTGAACCTTGGGCACTCTGCACGGCACTGCGTATGAAAAGAATACAACACAGATAGTGTGCTGGGTCAGCACACAGTTAAATGGAAAGACAGATGGAGGAATGAACACAGTGACACAGCTTGTAACAACTGCTGGTTTGTTGAGCTGAGGAGATAGATAGACAGACAGACAGATAAGACAGATGGTAGGCAGGCAGGTAGCTAAGTGCTGTAGAACAGACTCTGACTCATGGTGACCTTCTGTATAAAGAACTACACGTTGTCCAGTCCTATGTCATCCTCAAAATCGCTGGCAACGAAAACGAGAGAAACCCTCCGTGAGACGGGCTGACATAACCGCCACAGTAATGGACTCAAACCCACCAACAATCATGAAAATGGCGCAGGACAGGGCAACATTTCTTTCTGTTATACTCAAGGTCAGCAGGAGTTAGAACCGACTTGATGACAACAACGATGATTTTTAAAGATACCAATAAATCACAAAAGTTATGCATTTCCACTCAAAAATAAACCATTTACTGCAATAACATTATTTAAAAATATGAAAACAGGCCACCACTTTTTGATGTACATGGTCCTCTTGTCAACAGTTGTAAAGGGTTGAACACTTTGTGTTTGTCCAGTGTAACTAAGAGACCTGGAGGAAAATTCTCAGAAGAGATTACTCTGCTGTCAGTGAGCTAGGACGCTCACAGAAAGGCATTACTAGTGTGTGACTCGTGGCTGTGCTGGTTACCAGGCTTAAAAAAAATTTAAAATGGCCTATTTTACATGTTACTGGAAATGTGACATTTGGGCCAGTGACAATCTGTGTTCCTCGTGTGTTGGGATTTGCTGGGTGGGCAGCCCCTGAGCAGCAGCTCTCATATGGCGATGGTTACCCTGGACACTTTGAAGTACATTGTGTCACCAGACAAAAATTTAAGAGAAGTTAAAAAGAACAAGCTATTAAAACAGTGTAAACCTCAGTAACCTCACAGCCCTTTCCTCTCATTCCATCATATACCATTCAGATGTTTATTTGCAGGAAGTAAAAGCAGTTATTTTCCCATAAAAAACCTCAGAACTGTTTTTCCTAACATGGCACCCTTCATCCAAGAGCACAGCACAATGATTCCACGTCGTCACCATCATCAGCAAAGACCACATGGACCGCGGTGGTCTGGGGTCCTTCACAAGTCACAGCACCAACGTCACATGTGGAAGCCGTTTGAGGCAGCTTCCTCCAGCAAACATACTTAAAACTCTCCACGACAAGACCCCAAGTTGTGAAAGAGGTGCTCGCTCAGCCAGCTGGCACATCGGTGACAACCTGGTGAACTGACTGCTGTCATCCCGGGGGAAGGGAGACCACACCCACACCAGCTCTCTTCCTGGCCACACTGTAAGACAGGCTTCACCACACAGTTGGGAGAGAATTTCCCAGCATTGCGTTTAAGGCACGCTTCAGAGGTGGGGGTGTTGTCTTCAGGAAGGAGACACCTCCCATCGCCCCAGCTCGCCTGCCCAGCCTCGTCACCCAGCCTGCTCAGCTGGGACCCACCAAGGTGACAGCAGTCACCCCAGCCATGTGGACAGAGCTCAGTATAGACAGCCTCTCCCTGGGAGGCCTTGGGTGGTGCCAACAGTTTGTCCTTGGCTGCTAACCCAAACGTTAGTGGTTCAAACCCACCTAATGGCACTGCAGAAGAAAGGCCTGACCATCTACTTCCATAAAGATTACAGTCAAGAAAACCCAGTGGTGCTCAGTTCTGTTACACACACGGGGTCGCCATGCGCCGGGGTGCACTTGATGGCAATGGCTTTACACACAGCTGTTACTACTGAGCCCTGGTGGCACAGTGGTGAAGAGCTCGGCTGCTAACCAAAAGGTCGGCAGTTGGAATCCACCAGGTGCTCCTTGGAAACCCTATGGGGCAGCTCTACTCTGTCCTCTAGGGACCCTGAGTCGGAATTGACTCGACGGCAACAGGTTTGGTTTTTTGGTTACCTACTGGAAGGAGAAAAGACAGCAGAGAGGTATCCTGGGACACCTTCCGCAGGAGCGGCCATCTTGCCTGTGCTTGAGAAAACCGAGGAGCAAAGGAAAGACTTGAGATGGAGGAGGGGCCCAAGGCTGAGCTCTGACCTCAGGGGGTGGAGGAGGGAAAGGAGGAGGGGGGAGGGAATGCTCAGCTCTGCTGTGTCTCTGAACTCGGAGGGGCCCGTGGACCTGGGACCCGGACCTGAGGGAGGGGCACCAATGGCTGGTACTGGGTTTGCACTGGCAGAAGCTTCCAGTGGTCCAGCTGGCAAAGCAGAAACGGTCTGTGAGCCCCGATGCCAGCAACACCCCGCAGAGCACAGAGGGAGAGTCTGCAGCTGATAGCAAGGATGGCGTGGTCTACCTTCAGAGGCCCAGCTTCCTCGCACACCTCGCTGCGGCCCCGCACACCTCGCTACGGCCCTGCACACCTCGCTGCGGCCCCGCACACCTCACTACGGCCCCGCACACCTCGCTGCGGCCCCGCACACCTTGCTACATCCCCGCACACCTCGCTACGGCCCCACAGAACTCACTACGGCCCCGCACACCTTGCTACATCCCCGCACACCTCGCTACGATCCTGCACACCTCGCTACGGCCCCGCACACCTCGCTACATCCCCACACCTCGCTACATCCCCGCACACCTCGCTACACGACTCAACTTCATGCAACAATGGGTCACCTCTGCTTCTGCCCTTCCTACAAACACGCCAGAGATCCTCTCCCAGGAAGGAGATGTGGCATCCCAGCAACCAGTGCATTGGCTCTGGGCTGCGATGGTCACGACCCCTGACGTCCAGCCAGCCAACTGAGCATCC